AAATAATTACTCAAGTAAAGTACAGATACACAAAAATTCTACTTAAGTACAGTAAAGAAGTAGTTGTACTTAGTTACTTTACAACTCTGTAAAGAACAAAGGAGAAACGTGTGGGTTTCTGTAACGTGGATTCATGTACGGCTTCATTTCTGCTCCTGACCTGTGTGTGGGTGCTCGGTCTTGTTTCGTACACTCCATCTCTGGTTCCTCCTCCCTCCAGGTCAGCCTGCTGCTGCTGCTGCAACTGTCTGAAGAAACAAACAAACTAAATCAGTTTGGAAGGACAACCCCCTAAAAATGGACTCATCGTTATTCAACAGATGAATAAACCCAAACACCTCCTGATCAAAAACAGCACTCAAACCACCACAGTATTACTAACACTCTACACCGCCTCTGTTCAAACCGTCTTTCCACCACATTTAAAAAAGGAAAACATGCTCGTTTCCAGCTCAGCACCTCTGAAGAAAAGGAGGAGGAGTCAACCGTAATGGGAAATGAAAAATAAGAACTCAGAAGCCGTAGAGCCGTAGCGTCCCACAAAGAAGCAGCCCGCTCTCCAAAGCAGCAGGACGGCTCGTCTCACCTGGTGGCCACCTGCCTGGGGCTGAGCACAACGGCGTGATGGGTCGGGCTGCTCTGACCCAGAGGCATCGCAGCCCCCGGGGAAGCGATGGGAGTGAGAGGGTCCTGGGTTGAGTTTCTATTGTCCCACAAATATTGATGCATGAGCAGGAGACGTGTTGGGAGAGAGGGATTTAAAGAAGATTGTGTTTGAAGGTTTTAAGAGGATCTCTGGGCTGAATTTATTTATATCCAGAGAGAAAAAAAAAAACAGTTTCACAAGAATCACATTACATAACTGCGTCTGATTTCACTGTGTAACCACGCAGCACTTGTTACTCACTTGACATTCACATTGGTGCAGATGATATACTCGATCTCCTCTGAAAACGGGTTCTGGAAGGTGAAGGAACTCGTTCTCATCAAGATCCATTCTCTGGATTTGGAGCAAAACCGGAACATCACAGACAGAACCTGGCCTTTCATCTTCACCACCTGAACAGATCAAAGAGTCACACTGTGGAGAATGTGTTACCATCACTAGCTGCGTTTCCATTCACCATGAAAATGCGCAAATTGGAATTTCGAAAAAAATTTGCTCAATGGAAACACGTCAATTTAAGAAAAAATTACGTTTTTCAACAAAATGTTTTTGCGCTAGGATGAGGTGGTTTTTCAGCCGTATCGAAATTGGTGTTTTTCGCAAAACTGCAATGGAAACAATTTTTTCACATCATGGGAGTCACGTGATCAACAACCAGCTGTTTCTACTGGTGAAAAAGACGATGATGAAGAAGATAACAGGAGTAGAAGTAGTAGTAATATCACAGAAGTAGTATAAAATAATAAACTCACTGACTACAGTTTCCCAAAAACACAGCATACGTAGCCGCTCCCAAGTAGGGACTTGTCTCTGGAAAGCCTCGATAAAAGACGCCGACGTCTCCTCTGATGATGAGCGCTAGTGTCGTGGTAGCAACATGCTATGTGTTTACATACATCGCTGCCATGTTTGTAATGACTTATCATGAGAACAAACGGATTCACGTGACTTTAATAACATTTCTTACTTAATGGAAACACCGCAGTTGYGAAACTGTGTTTTTTCGACATTAACAGAATATCGACAAAGTTTTGCGCACATTTGCAATGGAAACGCAGCTACTCCCACAAAAGCCAAAACATGGGTTAGATACTGGATACAGCAGGAAAGATTCCCACACTTTGGTCAACATTAAATCCAAGGAGCTTTCAAGGACTTTCCAGTACCAATTTCCATTCCTTTCCAACATCCTTAAAATCCTTCAAAAATGTTTCTAAAACTTTACAGCACCTAACACACTTTGCTCTGGTTCTGCTCGTTTTCATTTCCTACTCCTAGTTTTAGCTACTTTTTGCTAATTTTAGCATTTTTCTGTTTCAGCAAAAATTCTGCTTCTTTCTGCTATTCTTCTGCTTTTTTCACTTTCTTATGCTTTTTTATGCTACGTTGTGCTTTTTATGCTTCTTACAGTTGCTTTCTGCTATATTCAGCTATTTGCTGCACTTTTAGCTAATGTTTAGCTGGTATTAGCTAAAGTTRGGTTTTTGTAATATTTTGTATATTTTTGTAATTATTACAACTTAATTCTGCTAAATTAAGCAAACTTGTGCTTCTTATGCTAATTAAAATGTTTCCAGCTACATTTTAGCTGTTTTACTGAAAACTTTGGCTGTTTCAAGAACCAAGCGCAACGGCAATTACCTACTGCTACCGCTGAATGTTACAATAAAACAGCTTTAACAACATGTAAATTCAATGAAAAACTGAACAACATAGAAGCTTTTGAGTCAGAATCAATGAAAGAAAGTGGATTCTATGTTTACCCTACATTCATTTCTACAATACATGAACATGTAATAATGTACTGGGAGGTTCAGCAGCTCAGTTTGGGAGGAGGGGATGTGAACATGTCCAGGTGGAGCTGTGGGGCTCTCACCTGGGACCCGCCCTGCTCTGCTCTGATTGGCTAAAACTATGACTATGGCTCAGGTTATTTGCTGAAAGCCACGTCAGTTTACTGTAATCCTGAGTTATCCACCGTAACAAATCTAAGTTTTTTTATTTTATTATTTAAATTTTGTCGTGTGAATAGAGAACTTCAATCCCCAAAAAACATTCAAGAACTTTCAAGGACAAGTGTAATTTTTGGCTGTTTTCACAAACTTTCCAGGACCTTGAAATCCCTTTTTTTTTTTTCAAATTCACAAACTTTTCAAAAATTTCAAGGACCTGTGGGAACCCTGGTGAAGTGTCTTGCCCAAGAGTACACCTTCCGGGTCCAGGACGACTCCCCTACCCACCCTGCCACAGCCGCCCCAACGTACCAAACAGTCACTGCCGTCTGAAGTGGTCTGAGAATTTTGGGGTCGATTCTCATTAACCACAAGGGCCACGTACGAAAACAAAAACAAAAACAAAAAAGGGCACAAAGTCTAGATAAGTGATTCCCAACCAGGGGTACGTGTACCACATGTGGTATGTGAGCATATTAGGGGGTACGTGGAAAAATTTCCCATGTGTGTAAAAAAAAAGATAAAAATAGGACTGCGGTGTGTAGGGCCCTATGATTTCAGCAAAGCTGAAAATACAAACAACATCACAACATTGACACAAAATCTAATCCTGTATAAAACACAGAATCTCACGAAATTTGCTAATTTAGGGTATTTGATGCATTTTGGACAAATAATGTTTTTTGGTTTATTTATTGAATTACTTATTGACTTTCAAGGCAACGTGTTTATCTTTGTTTAATTTGAGTTGAAAAGAATAAAATGCCTGAGAATTAAACGTCCTAGGGGGTTAAATAAATCTTTTTATTTATTAATCAGTTATACATTACATTTTTGGAGAATCATCATTACGTTACACTAAAGGGGTACTAGTGCTATGACAAAATGGCTCAGGGGGTACACAAGTCTACAAAGGTTGGGAACCACTGGTCTAGATTACACCCAGAAAACTGCTGGTAGTCTAATACCACGGTAGCGCGGGGCTACGTTGCTAATGCTAGGTCCTAGCTGCTTTTCCTTTTGTCTCAATGTCGAGCGGTGAAAAAATAAAATAAAAAAACTCAGCTGGCGCTAGCTCTAAATGTCCTTGACTCTAAGCTTGGCAGAGTAGAGGGGGTGGGGACAAGTTCAGACTGTCAGACCGACAGCTCTATCATACACTGGAGGAAACACTGGTACTACTAAATAAATACTACTACTCTTTTTCATTAGCACCCTCAAATATGACTAGTCGATGGTGTGAGCCGCAAGTCGTTGTGTCACTTGAGAACCATCTATAAACCAATTCAAGCTAGACTTATGAAATAATTCACCCTATTTTTTAAAATAAAACTGATCGTCATATTTGAAGCACGTTGCAGCAGGAGGCAGCAAAGACGACCGGCGGTAAAACGTGCAGTTTGAACCTATAGATTAGGTTTTAATCAGAATTATTTTATCTTAAATACTTTTGTGATTCAGTGAACGCTCCTGCTATCGAACAGAGGAGAGCTTCTCCTGCAGCAAGCATCCTCCAACTACAAGGCCAGCATTCAAGAAAAATGCTTCTAGAAACCTCACACACATCACGAACACAAACACCTAAATGTAAACTCCAGGTTTACACATCAAAGTCTGTATAAACTCTTCTGGAGTTGATGTTGCACATCTGGCAGAAAACAATCTGCTGTGTTTCGTGGCTTCGAAGGACACAGCACACCATCTGATGTTAGAGGAATTATTTGTGGCTCTGCGTGTCCAAATTAAAACCAGATGTGTCGAGTTGAGACCGTCTGTTTTTTTTTGTTTTTGTTTTTTTACTATGCAACATTACATAAACACAACAGCAGATCTGTGGAGATGGTTTAAATTTTGAAACCAGAGGTTATGAGTTGTTTTAAAATGCTGCCAAAAACAAAAAAAAAAAAGGTCCACCTGCTGGAAACTGTCTCTCAGTAAGCCTTGGTCCTCAGGATGGGCGAACTCTACAATGTTCTTTCCCAGTAAATCCTGCAGCATAAAAAATAAAAAAAAACATATGACATTGTTTGTGGTTGTGTGGTTTTTGTGTGGCTCGGGGACTTTGAGCAGCTTTGTTTACCTGGGGCTGATAGCCAGTAGAGGCAGCACAGCGGTGGTCTACAAAGGTAAACAAACCTTGGCAGTTATGGCGGGAGATGAACTCGATTGGAACACTGATACTGCCGAGGTCTGTATCCCCTGGACAACAAGTAACCTGGAGGAGGAAATGAGACTAGCACCAGTTTAAACAGAAAGCTACAAAGAACATAATCAACACGACTAAAACAACACGTTCAAATTCACAATGACCATAATTAAGACTCTTTTTCTGTTTTGTGCGGTTATCTTTATACAAATCTCTACTAAAACTAATTATCAGCCATCAACGGTCTTTAAAAAAATTAAAAAGAACGCACTGGAACCAATGGAGCTCGTCCGGTGACATTAATTTAAATTTAATTTAATTAATTTAAATTTTTTTTTTCAAACAATAAAAAAAAAAACAAATAATAATAATAAAACAGTAAAATAAAACATACATATATAATGTAACAAATACAGGAGAAAAAAAACACAACAAATAAAATAATAAAGCGTTAAATACAATATAAAATTTCCAGCAAAATATAATGTAAAACAAAACTCATGTTCGAAAAGGGAACAGGAAGAAGCAGTAGCTTAATCCAGTCCTGTTCCTAAGACTTCATACAAATCCTTAAACCAGTTATAATTTACTCTATCATCTATGGATCAGAACTTAATACATTTTACACACAATTTAGAATTAACATAGCATTTTATCACATTCATTTTTGTAAACATTATTTATATACTCCTTATATTTTCTCTTGAATTGTGCAATTTTTTTACTTTGCTTAATTTCATCATCTAAACCATTCCACAAAACAACTGTACAAACTGTCATTACTGTCATAAATGACATAAAAACACACACACACACACACACACACAGGCTCTCCAAACATGGAGTAATTGACGGGTTCATCATGCCAGGCCACAGT